GCACAAATCCCGGGAGCTCCGTGTGCTCCTTAAAAATGACAGCTGCCTCCGAACTTTTGAATTTTTCTCTAGTCTAGTCTTGGAGCTGGAAAAGTATCTGTACTTGCACTTGTACCGAATACCGCCCTTAGTATCTGAACCTCTTTAGTTATTACAGTTATTTCCACACTAATATTGTGGGGATTCTCCTGCTTTTCCTTCTTATCTATTCCTTCTTTTTGCCTTATGTTTGTAACTAACCCGTCTTTTTAAAGAAAATTAGATAATTTTTAATAAGCATTTTACAACCACGCCAGAACATGAACATTTTGAACAGAAAATAGCAAAACAAATTTAAAAAGGAGCAAAAATAAATAATTTCTTTAAAGCTAAACTCTGAGCACGAAAAATTCCATTTAAATATATAGCTACAAAGGATATTAACCAACTTTGTGTGCACTAAATGCCTTTACCCACCCAAACCATAACTTGTAAATGTAGCAGTGACATCATCACTATACTGCACATATCCTTTGTAGAAAACAGAGCTGTGGGAGGAACCCAACAGGCTCTACCTACTACAGGCTGCCTGCAGAAAACAGGCAGCCTGTAGAGAGCACCTGTGACAGATGTAGAAGAAATACACAAGCAGAGCAAGATTCAAGTAAGAATACACATGACTGTTGTATACAGCCAATACGTATCCCATGCGTATGCCTGCAGCTATTGAGTTGTCTCCAGTAATTAGTGTGAGAACTAACAATGTATTGTTCTCTGGTGGTCGGTGCGGTATTTAGTCAGACTCAGGACATTTCAACATACAGTAGCTTGCATTTTATCGAATATGGGAGATAAAAGGGATGCTTTGCTGTTCTCTGCAAAGGCTTCCCCTACCCCAGCGTCAGGCCCTTCTTCAACCTTGGGCCTTGGGCACCAGCTGCTTGGTACTCCTGTGATCAGAGGCAGCTCTAGAGTTTGCGAGGCCTTAGGCAAAACCTAAACATGAGGTCCCACTAAGGCCTGTGGGGTCTCACCAGGTCTCTGTGGGGTTTACACAGGCTGGTGAGACCCCCAAAGAGTCCTGGTGAGACCCCACAGAGCCCTGGTTTAACCAGGCCTCTGTGGGTCTAACCAGGGCTCTGTAGGTCTCACCAGCACCAGTGTTCTGTAGGGTCTCACCAGGGCTCGGAGGGGTCTCACCAGGCTGGTGAGACCCCCAAAGAGTCCTGCTGAGACCCCACAGAGCCCTGGTTTAACCAGGCCTCTGTGGGTCTAACCAGGGCTCTGTAGGTCTCACCAGCACCAGTGTTCTGTAGGGTCTCACCAGGGCTTTGTAGAGTCCCAACAGGGCTTTGTGGGGTTTAACTAGGGCTGGTGAGACCCTACAGAGCCCTGGTTAGACCCACAGAGGCCTGGTTAAACCAGGGCTCTGTAGGTCTCACCAGCACCAGTGTTCTGTAGGGTCTCACCAGGGCTTTGTAGAGTCCCAACAGGGCTTTGTGGGGTTTAACTAGGGCTGGTGAGACCCTACAGAGCCCTGGTTTAACCAGGCCTCTGTGGGTCTAACCAGGGCTCTGTAGGGTCTAACCAGCTTGGGTAGACCACACAGAGCCCTGGTGGGATCCCACAGAGCCCTGGTGAGACCATACAAAGCCCTGGTTTAGCCATGGCTCTGTGAGGGCTCACCAGGGCTCTGTGGGGACTGGTTAGACACCACAGAGCCTGGTAAAACCCCAAAGAGCCCTGGTTAAACAAGGGCTCTCTAGAGCCTCACCAGGGCTCTGTAGGGTCTAACCAGCTTGGTTAGACCACACAGAGCCCTGGTGGGATCCCACAGAGCCCTGGTGAGATCCCAAAGAGCCCTGGTTAAACCAGGGCTCTATAGGGTCTCACCAGGACTTTGTAGGGTCCCAACATGGCTCTGTGGGGTTTAACCAGGGCTGGTGAGACGCTACAGAGCCCTGGTGAGGCTCTAGAGAGCCCTTGTTTAACCAGGGCTGGTGAGACCCCACAGAGCCCTTGTGAGACCCCACAGAGGCCTGGTTAAACCAGGGCTCTGTAGGGTCTCACCAGGGTAGCAGGCCTGTGGGGGGTCTCACCAGGGCACTGTGGGGTCTAACCAGCCTTGTTAGACCCCACAGAGCCCTAGTGAGACCCCGCAGGGCCCTGGTTAAACCAGCGCTCTCCACACGCTCTCCTCAGGGCTCTCCAGGCCGCCACTCACCAGTACTGTGCTGGCCATGTCTCGGGGGCGGGAGCTGGCAAGAGCGTGCCGACATAGTCTCCATCTGTTGCTGAAGATAAACTCCAAACTCCCAGCTAGAGATCCTCGTGTGGTGGATGGGAGGGGTTAGGTCTCTTCTCATTGGCTGGTGGGCAGAGCTCCAGAAGACCGAGTGGATGGACCGTACAGACGATCGAGGAAACGTATGAGCGCTCAGCCCTGTCACTGTCAAACTGAGAGTCTCAGTTTGACAGCGGCAGGGCTGAGAGCTCACGTTACCTGACTGCGAGCGAGGTGATGTGCTGTTCCCACAGGGCAAACAAGGCATGGACACCAGGCCAGCTGCTTGCTTTTACTGTGGTGATCTCTGCAGAAAGAGAGCTCATTCCTGAACTTTTTTCTCAACTTTCACAGGTCTTTTCTTGGGCCTTGTCCCAGCTGCTTTCATGTGCCAAGGTCCGAAAATGCAGAGCTGGCTTGTCCCAGGGCCTGAAGGAACTATCTAGTTAGAGAAGTTAGTGTGAGATGTAAAAATGTATTGGCTTGTGAGTATTTATCAGTCCTGAACAATCCCTGAGGGATTTACTTCATAAATGTAAGCTAAGGGGGGAAGGTAAATATTTGTGGCAACCTTCTGGAAGGATCCTTGTTCTTCCATGTTGGGAATTGACCTGGTGGGGATACCACAGTAAGGAGGTCTTTTCTTGGGTCTTGTCTCCGCTGGGGCATATGCCAAGGCCCAATCTGAGCTGGTCTGTCCCAGGGCCTGAAGGAACATTGAGTGTCCACGAGAACTTAGGGGAAGCTGCTGCTGGATGGACCTCATTACTCAACACTTTAAGGTACCTATGACTTCTTTTTAAAAAGTCAAAGGGCCAATTGTTATTGGGTGGCTGCTACTAAAATATTAGAGCCACCAGGTAGTAGGCTGCTACTATACTATTATAGCCATTATTATTTTGTTGTTGATATAAGAATGCCTTGAAAACTGTGTTGTTTTGGCGTATTCTATGACCCTAACCATAAAGTAACTGACTCCCAACTGTTTGTTTTACTCCACAATCAGAAAAGGTTCCACCCTGAGATGTTAAAATGCTAGTCTGTCAAGCTATTTGGGGGTCATTCCACAACGCAGATAGGTGAGGAGTGCTACACTACCATTAGTTGTGATTTTAAGCCATGTTAATGAACACTGTGTCAAAAGCTATTAGATATAGGATAAGACCCTGGCCGTCTTCCTTTGCTGGAATAACACAGAATAAATAAGTGTTAAGCTTGAAGGATTCGGGTCTGTGAAAACATTCTATATTTTCCTCTCCAGTGTGACGGCTTCAAATGGAAAATCTGTCACATATTAAACTTAGGAGAGTTCAGCAATAACATCTGAAATGGAATCACCATCCCTGTCATTTTCACTTAAGAGGAACCCTTTTTTCTTTAAAAAAATATGTAGAGGGAAAAATAGTTTTCTCTTTGCAGAGAAAATGTCTAACGTGTCACTTTGTGCTGCTTTCGGTTTGGGGGAAAAAAAAGGAAGGACGTTGGGAGTGAGGTTTGCTTGAAATATAGTAGTTTCAGATTCAAGTATCTGTGTAAAGTAAGAATCATATACAGATATACAAACATTCAATGTTGTATAAAAAGATTTTGGATTATTTTTTTGGGGAAGTAAAGGACTTTTTAAAAGGCATATGGAATAACTGTAGCTATTATGCTTTGCTGGTGCAAGTTTGTATTTCATTTTAAATGATTGCATTTCCACATGTTCAAAGCTGTTAGCCAATTACACTGCCCAGCCAAAAAAAGAGTCGGGCATGCAAATATTTTGCTGGACCTCCTTTAGCTTTGATTACTGCATGCATTTGCTGTGGCGTCATTTTGATATGCATATGCAATGTCACATGTATTTCCATTCAGGGTTGCATTCATGTTTCACCAAGATCTTGTACTGATGATGGGAGAGTCAGACCACCACGTAAAGTCTTCTCCAGCACATCCCAAAGATTCTCAATGTGGTTAAGGTCTGGACTCTGTGGTGGCCAATCCATGTGTGAAAATGATGTGTCATGCTCCCTGAACCACTCTTTCACAATTTGAGCCCAATGAATCCTGACATTGTCACCTTGGAATATGCCCAATGTGCCGCCAGTGAAGAAAAAAATCAATTGATGAAGGGAAGAAAACATTTGGTCATTCAGTATATTCAGGCAGCTGACCTCATTTTTTGGGGACATAACTTTGCTGAACCTAGACCTGGCCAACTGAAGCAACTGCAGACCATAACACTGCCTGAAATCCAGGTGGTGACTTCTCTTTGGCCGGAAGAGAAATATGCAGCACATAAAGAGGTTGTTTGGGTGTCATAAATGTTGGACCTGGGAGTAAAAAATGCCTCCTGATAATCACACAACCACAACTTACCTGGTGGCCAGACCTCATTAATAGTCTCAACTTTTCTCACAGGCCGTAATATATGTGAGCTGACTGATGCTCAGGTCTCTCTTTCATTGCTGTGAGAGCCTGTTGCAGGGTGAAAAGGCTGACTGCTGACAGAGCACTAAAAGCTACCTGAGCTGCCTGTTTGTTTGGGGCACCCATCAGGGGAAATGCTGTTATACAGGGACAGACCTGAGTTTACTTACTGGCTCGGAGGAGCAGATGTTTTGTTTTTACTATGGACTCACCACACTAAGACCTCCAGCATTGATGCTATACTTGTTTACTGTCTTGCTGAATAAAAGTGCAATACAAACCTGCTTGAACTGTACTTGTGAATTATACAGTACTACTTGCTTACCAGTTTCTGACAGCAGCTTGGTGGATTCCAGAACTTTCTCAGTGTAAACGCCTGCTTCATAGTTCTCCATCTCTGCATTTATAATATGTATTACTCTGGCAGCACGACCTCGGATAGCACCCGCCGTTCGGTCCAGGGTGTCAACATCTCCTTCTTGTAGGGCGATGACACACTTGTTGACGTCCTCTAGTATATGGTTCTCTGTGAAATGAAATATAGAATTATAGTTCCATGAAGTGCTAATGAATTTCAAGATGACATTCTGTTGTAGGATGTTGTACTTTTGCCTAAGAAAAAGTGTAAAATGTATAATATTTGACAAACCAGTTTACATATATTGGTATTTAGTAGTGGCTGCAAGTCATTATTGAATCTGGAATTAAAGTCTATATTATTGTAAGCAGACTTATATAGTAACTTCTGCACAGCTCGCTGGTTTCTGGGACACAAATCACTGTTGGCACTCTTTCTAATTTTGGTTGGTACATGGTAGGGCTTAACATCTAAAAAGAGGACTGGTTGGAGTCTATGGACCATGATTAATTATGTTCAGCACAATAACGTCAGCATGTCGTTTTGACACTTTTGATACTTTGTCATATCTGTGTCATAGCACAGCTGAACATATTCAGGTTCAGTAAAAGTGTATCTAAAGCAAAACTGTTTATTTTGGATAAAGTAGGGAATGATTAAAACCCCTGCAATGTTTATTTTTTGTCACTTCCTTTGAGTAGTTTACAATGTAAAGTCCTTATTGGACACGCACACAGGGCCAAGTTGACACACATTTTTTTAAAAGAATTGACTAACTCATACAGGCCTATTAACTAAACGGTGAGGAGTTTGGAAAAGGCAGGAGAAGTGAACAATCTAGCGCAAAATAGCTGAACTGGAAAGTGAGCTGTATTGGAGAATTTTTCTATATCAGCTATGTTGTCCTAGATTGTTCCTTTCTCCTGCCTTCTCCACCCTTTAGTGAATAGACCTAATAGATTTGTATTGAGACAAAGAGCAGTAATGACAAGCATTGTGTAGCACTGTGAAGCAGAAAGCAGAGCGTGAGAATATACCGTATATACTCGAGTATAAGCCGACCCGAATATAAGCTGAGGTACCTAATTTTACCACAGAAAACTGGGAAAAAATATTGACTCGAGTATAAGCCTAGGGTGGGAAATGAGGCAGCTACTGGTAAATGTACAAAATGAAGATAGATACCAATAAAATTACATGAATATTTATTTAAAAGAAAAACAATAACCTAGCTCTGTAAGTGGAAAAGGGGGTACAGGGCTACATATCATGTACTACGGATCATTTAACCCATTCATATTAGCAGAGGATAATTGTAAATCTATTGTTCAGTGCATTCTATATGTAGTATATAGTACATGTACATATAGAGTGCCTGCAACAATACATTTACAATGATCCTCTGCTAACATGAATGGGTTAAATGATCCATAGTACAGGGCTACATACAGATCATTTAATCCATTCATGTTAGTATAATTGTAAATGTATTGTCTGCACTGTATTAGCAGTATATACTCTATATAGAGTATATACTGCTAATACAGTGCAGACAATACATTTACAATTATACTAACATGAATGGATTAAATGATCTGTATGTAGCCCTGTACTATGGATCATTTAACCCATTCATGTTAGCAGAGGATCATTGTAAATGTATTGTTGCAGGCACTCTATATGTACATGTACTATATACTACATATAGAATGCACTGAACAATAGATTTACAATTATCCTCTGCTAATATGAATGGGTTAAATGATCCGTAGTACATGATATGTAGCCCTGTACCCCCTTTTCCACTTACAGAGCTAGGTTATTGTTTTTCTTTTAAATAAATATTCATGTAATTTTATTGGTATCTATCTTCATTTTGTACATTTACCAGTAGCTGCCTCATTTCCCACCCTAGGCTTATACTCGAGTCAATATTTTTTCCCAGTTTTCTGTGGTAAAATTAGGTACCTCAGCTTATATTCGGGTCGGCTTATACTCGAGTATATACAGTATTGAGGAAATAGAGCTGCCCCCATGTGCATGTATTATTGCAGACTATTTAAAATAAAAACTTAAAAAAATATATTATACTCTTTTATGTGCATATCTAAAAATAATAACAAAGAAAAACCCTCTACATTCCTTTTGACTGCACAGCTACCAGCCACTGTTCTATCTGAGGACACCCTGGGCTGCAAAACTATTTTAGGACTAAAAACTACTGAGTATGGTTTATAAAGAGCACCACAGTACAGCTGTTCTTTTTATATCTTTTATCAAGAAGATGCAGTTATTCTTTAATAATAAATACACAGATCTGTCATGTTTTTCAAAATGTTACCAACCATCAGTGTCCTGTTAATTAGGAGCTTCTTTTGCCCAGAGTATTTATCTCTAAAGGTGCCCATACACTGCTCGATTCTCGTACGAGAATCGGGCGAAATCCCGCGATCGTACGAGAATCGAGCAGTGTGAACTAAGATGTGCGACCGTTTCTACTGTACGGTCGTACGTCTTTTGTCGAGCCAACATGCTCGAAAACCTGCCGAGAATCGTACGATTCTCGGCGGGTTTCTAGCCTGCTCGCCCGATAGCTGCGGAACGGGCCGGTGTGCGCACGCGCACACTGCCCGTTCTGCATTGCCGTCATCGGAAGCCCGCCCCTCAGCGGGGCGGGCTTTTGATGATCGCAAGTACGATCTGCCCGTCCAAGGTGGGCAGATCGTACGGGCTTTCAAGAAGCATATGACCATCGCAAGACAAAAGTCTTGCGATGGTCGTAAGGTGTATGGGCAGCTTAAAGCTTCAGCAACCGAAAAAAAAAATGCTCTCAGCTGTCCATGGTTGATTTCATTTTAAACAGTGTTATCCAACTTTGTTCAAAATGGCAAGCATCTGATATGATAATATCTGGCTGAAAAACGTATTGATCCTTGCTTAGAGGGCACAGCTAATAAAATGTCCAGAATCTCTTTCCTGAGGTTGCTGTAAAATTGGACATGAAGTGAGATCTGTGCTAAATGAGAGTAACAAGGTGGCAGGCGACCAGTGTCTATCAGCCATTCAGCCAATTGCTTTTCAGCGCTTTTGATAAAGGTTGCAGGACTAAAGTAATTGAAGCCCAGAAGTCAGCATGCTTCTGATTCATTGCAACATAACGAATGACAACTCAAATAATTCCAGTGAATACCCAGAGTAATTTGCAATCTAAAGAAAATGCAGAAGAGATTGAGTTATAGATCTTAATAAATGTTTGGAGGCATAGTTAATTATGGTTCAATATCTCCCACTCAGACATCACCGAGTACCATAACTCAACAGAGCAGTCCATTTCAGCAATAAATGACAGAGCGACGGCATCATTACAAAGTTATCCCAGTTACAGAGTAAATACATAGTTATTTTGATCTTTTTAACAAACAGTCTAACAGATCTATGAAATGGAGAAGACAGAGTACAGTGGACCCCCTGATAGCCAATTATCAGGCATTAAATGGTCAGATCAAGCACAAACAACCTGATCTTAAACAGAGTCCAGGTTTTAGACAGGTAGACAGAGAAATTACTGACAGTAACAGATATAAAAAGCAGTTGATCAGGATAAGCACATATAAGCAGAGTGCAAATACAGTCCAAACAATCTAAAATAGTAGTGCAGGCAGAAGACATATAGACCCAAATCCAGGGCATGAACAGACAAACTAACCTGGTGATCAGGTACAAGCTGAGCATCCAGCATTCTACTTAAGCTTTCCTGATTAGGGCATGTGTGCACTTCAGAAACCCGACCTGCTGTGCTGAGTAAAAATCAGCAGATGTCAGCAGGATATACTGCTTCAGAGATGCTCGGGGTGACCAGAGTGATTGGGTCTAGGGGTGTTTTTAAATGTTAGTGTCTTTGGAATCACAAAAAAGTAATACATCTAACCCAGCAGAATTAAAATAAAAACTATAGCAACAATAAAGGGCTTGTGTAATGCAATTCTTAAGGTATAGGGGCATTTACATCAAGTCACCTAAAGCCTGGTATTTGTGGCTTAAAGGAGAACTATGAGGTGAGTGCTTTTCACTCACCTCATAGTTCTAGCCGACCTGTGACAATGAGACTGTCACAGGTCGGCTCAGTAGATAGGGAGGTGAGCGAACACATACCGGGTTCGCTCACCTCTCGATCCTGTCACGGCTCTCTGCCGTGACAGGGGGAGGGGCTGGATTCCCCTCTCCCCGCTCCGATCTGCCAGCGCTGACTGGTGGAACGGACAGGGGAGGGGGCGGGTACAGCTGGCTCTGCCTCTAGATAGGCAGATCCAGCTGTCACTCACGCAGCTGGGCGGATCCCGTCGTCTAAGTCGGGATCCGCTCCGGCTGCGGCATCTCAGTATACCGCGAGCTGTAGCTGTAGCTCGTGGTATACTGAGCTTAGGGTAACGGGAGGATGCTAGTTTGTGTCCTCCCATTACCCTAAGGAGAACTATGGGGAAAAACACTGACCTCATAGTTCTCCTTTAAGAGCTTGCAGATCTTTGAGGTGTCTTCAGTACTGCAGCATGGAAATAAAGTGTGTCAGTCACTCAGGACCGGATTTACCCTCCCTGCCGCCTCAAGGTCGGGTTCCGCAATGCCCCCACCCCACCAAGAGAATGGCAGTTTTTTTTTGTTAAACTTTTTTATCACTTTTTATTTTTTTATTTATTTTTTTACTTTTTAAATTTGTATTTATCTTGTCATCTTTTACTTATTTTATTTTTTTATAATTCTTTATCTTATTATTTTTTATTCATAATTATTTTCGTTTTTTTTATATTTTTCTTACTATCTTTTACTTAATTTATTACTTTATTTGCTTAATGTAATTATTATTACTTATTATTTTTACTTATTTATTTACGTAATAATTTTTTAATCATTTTTTTTCACCTAACTTTACTGCTATCACACAGGACCTAACAATTCACTGTGTGATAGCATTTGGTGGTGACAGGTTCTCTTTATTGAACCTGTCACCTCCAATACAGGAGTTCTAGCACAGCACTGTGCTGGAACTCCTGTGACATGTGAGAGAGGAAGAGCACAGCTCCCCGCCCTCACTGCCTACACGAAGCGGCAGGGTTACTTTTAACCCTGCCGCTCTGCTCACTGCTCTCCATACTGAAGACAGCGGCAGCGAGGGCGGTGCCGGGAGGACGCAGCATGGAGAGAGGTAAGTGCAGGGGAGGGAGGACGTACCGGCAGTCTAATTACAAGTGATCTCGGCGACATCGCCGAGATTACTTGTAAAGAAAAAGGTGATTTCTCCTATTCTACATTTAGCCCTGCTTGTGCAAAGCAGAGCTAAATGTAGAAAATAAATTACCGCCGGCGCCCGGAACTCCATGTTCCGGGGCGTCGGGTGTGCCTCCCCTCTGCTCAGTACCGCCCCGAGGCCGGGCCTCGGTGGCCTTTCCGGGAATCCGGCCCTGCAGTAACTTTTGAGTACTATTCCTGCTACTTTACTATAGAACCTGAAGGAGAAGAGAGGTGAGAATAATTATGGTAGTACCTATAACAAGCAACACGCATGGCTTCCAGACATGTAGCTGTTTGTTCTGATTTTTGCAAATAGGGTTATCATGACTTTTGACCACTAGATCTTATTGCACTGCATGCACTGCTTCCCAGGCACCAACAACTGCAGCTGTTATGTGAGGAATGTAAGTAGTACATGCTGTTGTGCTCTGTATCACAGAGAGATCTTTCTGAGCTCTCCACTGGCTCAGTGATTAAAAACACAGCACCCACTGTTGCGGTTTCAGTGCTGTGTTCAGAGTGATTAGGGTGTGCCCTGGCACACCCGCCACACCCTGTGCGCATGCCTATGGTACAGGATATCATACATCTGCCTCCAATAACGTTGGTGAGAATAAGAAAAAAACAGGGCTGTCTAGAAAACAACCTGTATTGTGACACTGTAGACATATCTACTTTAACACATTAGTTGCCCTGTCCTAGTGCTTCTCACACTAACCTTCCCTGGAACCTAATCTTCCCATTACCCTGTATCCCTAACACTTACCCTCACTGTAAACTTAACACTAACCCTCCCTGTGACCCTAACACTAGCCCCCAATGTAATCTTGAAGAACACTCCAGGAAATTAAAACAATTTACCTGTGCAGTGGCTACCCCTGCAATGCAAGAGTTAACTGATTGTTTTGGTCTTGGATTGCAAACAAAGAAAATATACTCACCCGATCCTCGGTCCTGCCTGGCTGCTAGACCTGCAGCCTCTTCTTCCCCAGGCTCCGGCTTTCTAAGCCCCAATTGTGTCATCACATCGTCTAATGCAGGTCCATTCACCTGCATTAGATGTGAGGACAAAGTGAAACATATCACATGCCCGGCGGAGGGGGAGAGATGTCAGTGCTGACAACCGCAGGACCGGGGGTTGGGTGAGTTAATCTTCTGTATTTTGGCCCCTAAATACACAAAATGAGCAGTTAACCATTATGTTACAACATTTCATCTGTATGTAAACACTTAACATCAAAAAACAAAACTTTCATTATCAGTTATAGGTTCTATAACCATTTTTACTATCTGCAGGGAGCAGATAATTGTGCAGCCACAAAGATTTGTGTTTAAAGGAAATGTAGAGTAGAAGTGGCCTTGGTGGGCATCTACATACACCTCAACACTTATTCTTCTAAAGTTTAACTGAGGAAAATACTTTTGCTCACCTGATTTTTCCAGAGAGCTCAGATTAGTGATATATTGGACAACATGTGAATTCCTTTTCACCTCTATACAGCAATGTTATTTTTGCACTAGACTGGAGATATCAGATAGTGACTTACCAGAGACTGAAAGGAAGTCGTCTACAGATGTGATGTCATCTACAGCCTCTGTAAGAACTCGAACCTGCTTCTCCCATTGGTCTTTGAACACATCCATATTATCCTGAGCCACTTTACTCAGGGGCCTGGCAGCCAATGTCAGAGCGGCATTGATCACCTGCAAGGAGAAAAGACTATGAGACCACATAATTCATCATCCATTACTTGACAAATGAGCATGGGTACATCTGTACTGTATATAATGTAGTATGAATAGAGCAAGCATGTGCAGATCAAGTCACTGGCCCATTTCATATGAAAATGAAATGAAGAAATTCTGAAAATGAAGGAAGAATACAGGGGCATCCCTAGCCTTTTTGCCACCTGAGGCTGGGGGTGAAGGAGTGTGTTGCTGGATGGTGCACTATGTGTGTGTGTGTGTGTGTGTGTGTGTGTGTGTGTGGGTGGGGTAAATTGGTGCTGGATGAGAGTGACACTGCTAAGACCCAGACGGGGAGCTATGTAAGGTCTCTAGATCACCCTGCCTAGCTGTTAGCAACCTCTGACGCTCCGGCAGGTGTCCCACCAGAAATTAACTTGATGGGGATGTTACAATATTCCAAACAAAAGTGTGTAATATAGATAGATAGATAGATAGATAGATAGATAGATAGATAGATAGATAGATAGATAGATAGATAGATAGATCCCAAAATAGATGTGTTTTATAGATCAATACAAGCCTTTAGGTCAGCTGAGTTATTGAGAACAATGCACTTCCTATGTGGCCCAAATCTTTTCTCAATAGTTTCCTAAATGTCATACTTATCCTCTAGGCTCTCTGACACAGAACTAATATACTGTATATTCGGTGAAAACAGAACTCCTGATCTGCTTGTTACAGGTCAGGAATTCACTAAGCAATTAAATCAGAAGACAGACGTGACAGATGGGAAACTTGCCTTTTCCTATAGCCTAAATAGGAGCTTAGAATGGCTGCACAGATACTTCTGTCGTTACAGGTTCTCCTTAAGTGCTGTGCTTATTCTTGATTGATAGCCGCCAGTGAGATTCAAACCTGTCCTGGAGAGTTATACTGGACAATGTTATTCTAAATATGATTAGTGGCAGGGTGGAAATACCAACACTTTAATACAGTGCATGTGGCCCCGTACCAGCAAGGGCTTGTCCATATATTACATTATTAACCGATCAGTGTGTGTAAAAGCCAACCAATTCTATAAGGACTGATTAATTAAAAGACGACAACCATTTTTTAAAGATTTTAAATGGCTTGGTGTATGGGTAGTTTTACTCAAAGATCATTAAAACCTCAAAAACATCATAGTTAAGGTCAGTGTATGGATCGATTTACTGGTCCCTATCTGAAGAAATTATTGAGACATACCTGTGGACACAAACTATCGATTTGAGTGGCCGCCATTCGGACTAATTTCACACCATCTTCGTTATTGGAAATTGAGCAGGCCAAGTTCGCGACCTGAAGAAACCGAAAAAGATAGAGGAAAATAATACACTACTTGTTGTTTTTGTAACTGAAATATGTCATTAAGCCGGTTTTCCAAAGATAGCATTATTATATAAAGACCTGTTTAGCCAGACATATATATAACCATGAGCACAGTATAAGGAGCACAATGGCAAGGACAATGTAACATTGTCATACACCTGTTTACATTTAAGACAGACAGAGACATGTCTACAAAGTCCTATAGATAAAACATTTTCTAAAATGCTATCCAAGTAGACCAAGTGTTAATTAATTCTGTAGAGCTCAGAGAGACCTATGTTAAATAAAAACATCCATATAGATCTACAGGGTAATGTGAACAGCTCATGAGTTAAGTTATACATAAAGCCATAAGGTTTACACCCAACATTGTAAAGTTCCTATGTGAATTTCATCCTGGGTTGATGTATTTGGTGAGAGCTCAAGTGACACCAGAGTACCAAGAACTGCACAGGCACCAGGATTTTCATAATTGTATAATTTCTGAGCCAACATCTAAGGTTAGCTAGTAGCAGTGATGTGCAGTAATGACCGTGCTAGGTGAGGCATTCCCCCTGCAGGCCCCCAACCCAGTCACCAAGCTATGTGTGAAGAAGGGAGGAGACAGGGAGGAGCCTCCCTATCCCTCACTTGCTTGTCACTGGTGAAGCACTGAGATAGATACCCTTAGTGTTTTCTTTTTTTTTTGATTGGACAGCTTGGACCAATGGGTTTGCCATTGGTCCAAAAACCATCCACAGACTCAAACCTCTAACACCAAGTAGAGGCTGTTGCAGCTCTGACTTCCCTATGTTAGGTTACACAGAGCAGTGTGGAAGCCCGCTGCTGTGCAACCTAACATAGTTGTCAAAAGCCGGATGACGTGCTGTCTGTAATTAACAGGCAGTGCTCAGTCCATGAAAGGTTATACAGTGGGGAGGCTTTCCCTGCTGTGTAACCTGTTACAAGCCAATCTGAATGGAGAAATACCTGTCAGCTTCAGACTTGAAGCTGACAGCTTTTTCTTCCATAATTCTAGGTGAGGCTCTGCCTTACCTGCCTCCCCTCACGGCACATCCCTGGCTAGTAGTAGTTAGTCACATTCAACTGTACTTGTTCTGTAATGTTGAAGATATTTTGAAGCTTTTCCAAGCCATTTCTTCTTTTCTAATGAGGTTCAGGAAGATACCCCAGCATCCAACCGCCATGAAATGTGGCAAAGAAGATGTTGGTTGGCCCAAAGCAGACGAAAGTATCCCCCCCCCCCTTATTTTCTATTCTTATTACCTTCTTCTCTATAATGTGATTGTCATTCCACATTTGTAGATATTTCTGTATCTGTTGCACTCCCAGATATGGTCTCACTGTACTGATTTTTACGTATACATGCCTTTGTACTCTTTGTAAAACTCAATAAAACTTATTTGAAACAAAAAAAAAAGAAGATGTTGGTTGTCCAAGAATAGGCAGTGTCCATCTTCATCAACAAGCTTAGTTATTTGCAGCTAACTAATAGTAACTATACCATGACCTGAATAAATAAGAACCTTCACAAACGTCTTAGTTTAGGAAGTAGATGTTGACCCCGGATGATAGCAGGAAAAATATGTCTGCATTTATTTGGAGAGAAAGGTTCATGAAGGCAATAGTGTCAGGAAGTGGACTCTGATCTTTCTGAGAGGTAATATTATTATTATTATTATTAATATAACAGAAAAGGTACTAAGTCCAAATCCAATACATATAGGATATAGGGAATATAGGGAAGACAAAGATGTGATCTCAAATAAGTAGCAAATTGGTATGTCCCTCCTGCTCCTAGAAATAAATATTCTAATTACAATGCTAATTACAAAGAATAAAAAAAAAACTTTATGTAACTTAAAGTCCACCAAGATTACCCCAGGTCTGTTTGGTGCATGAATGGCTTGTCTTGCTATCATAGATGCTGGGCTCTTCCTAATATTTATCCATAAATTATTCTTTGCTATGTTACTCAAAACCCTACAATATTGACTTTATTAGTTACATTATTGTTCCAGGTCAGCAACTCAGGGCTTGATAGCTAGCTCGGAAGTAAGTCAGCAATGGCAACATCTGTGTGTCTCTTACAGGTACAGGTTTGCTATATGGTTATACCCAAGTCTATAGCTACAGAAAATGTTAGCTGTATTAATTTTAGGCTTTTTAGCCCGTTTGCATATACTGTAATGAATATGCTTCTCCTTTTGCTTTTATTTAGCTGCTAAGTTCTACAACAAAGTTTAAAATACATTGTGCTAGAAGCACCTAGAAGAGTCATACCTCTGCTCTCACACACAATGCAGTGGTCCAGCTCTCTGGTACATCCTCTTGAACACCACTCTAATCAACAGCTCTCACTCCCTAAGCAGTCTTGTTGATTGGATCAGTGTACAAGAGGATGTGTCAGACCATTGGAAAGCTGGGTAACTGTGTGTGTGTGTGTGACAGAATTGTTTCATTTTCCCACTTACAGCTGCACCTTTGCCACCTTAACATGTAAATATCATTGATGTCTTATATACTGTTAGAACTGAATACCCAGAGAAGAAGATCTGATCAAATTTAATGTCAAGTAGCTGCAAAAAATAAAGAACTCTAGTAATGGGGAAAGTACTGCATGTCCTTGCCCGTTACCTCCATAACAAAAGTCTTATTAGCTGTAATATAACTTGTATTCATTCAAATGATTAAATGTTCCCTACACCGATGCAAAACAAACTCTAAGACTCTAATATACATCTTTAGAGGAAACTGAAAAGTTAATTCAACCTGATCCTTTTCCATGTCAAGTTGTACATTTTATATTGACGTAGGTGTCATCTCAGGTGTTTTGCCAGGCTGTACAACAACGATTCCAAGAACATATTTCACAGAAGAAATTTGATATTTCACATCTGCCCTCCAGGTAAACAGCCTATTACATAGATTGACCTCATAAATGGGAGCTATTTACCTGCTAAAGGGTTTTATTTCTGTACATTTAGTCCTGAGATTTAGGACCATTGTTGGTGGGCTTTAGGCTGAAAATGCAGCTTGCTTTTGACATCAGTTTGAGATGCTTCTGAGATCATTCAAAATGCATTGAAAGGTGCATTTGACCTGCAGTTGACCTTCATTTGAATTGCTTTAAGCTGGATTTGCCCATAGACTTCTGAAGACAACAAAACCATATTGATACAGGTCCTTACAAAGTCCTACCAAACAACTTGGGGACCTGACTTTTCTCTGCTGCTGGTAGCAACACATTTTGGTCACTTTCCTGCCCCAGCCTGTGATTAGACAAACAGCTGCACATTGATGAGCAATAATGAGTGGCATGATTTAGTCGAAATTTATTTTACTGATTTTACAGCCAGCAAGCTTCATGAGCTGCCTAGGTGAAATTTGCTTGTTTTTCCCTTTTCTTGTGTATTTGATGATTTTTTTTTGTGCTCTATCATGTTACATTTTGTTTGTTTTTATTTTTTTTACTTTTTGTATGTTTTCTTTTTCTGTGAAAATGTTTCAATATTAGGTGAATGAGAAGAGGTTGAATGGAGCTTACGTATTCTGGATTATACTTACCTCTATGACAGACCGGGTCTCCTGCCTTTACTCTATGTGCTGTCCATCAGATTCCTCAGCACTTGTGCCATGCTGTGGTCCCAGCCTTTGACCCCCACATTGCTGCTGAGTTCTGTAGCAGGGAGGGGGGTTGAAAGATGAATCCACATTGTTTCCAAATTAAACCACAACCACATTAAAGATGAAGAGTGGGAAGTAGGAAACACGGGTTGCTGGAGAGGTCGGTATAATCCCAGTGCTAGAACAGATAGAAGGTAGAAGAGACAGGCCACTGAAGAGGTAAGTATAATTCCAGCACTGAAAACGGAGCTAAGGTAGAAGACACAGGCCGCTGAAGAGGTAAGTATAATCCCAGCACTAAAACAGAATGAGATAGGAAACATGTGCTGCAGGAGAGGTAATCATAATCTCAGCTCTGGGATGATGCAAAAGTAGGAGACATGGGCCACTGAAGAGGTAAGTAAATCCCAGTGCTGGGCCAGAGTGAAGGTAGGAGACATGGCTACTGAAGAGGTAAGTAAAATTCCAGCAATGGAATGGAGCAAAGGGCAGAGACATGGGCTGCTGGATAGTATAATTCCAATGCTGGAGTTGAGCAACGAGAGGAAATACAGGCCGCTGGAGACTGGAATGGTGCAAAAGTAGGCGATAGAGGCCACTGGAGAGATAAGTAAAATCGCAGCACAGGACCAGAGCGAAGATAGGAAACACAGGCCACTGGAGAGATAAGTAAAATCCCAGCACTGGACCAGACCGAAGGTAAGAGACACGGGCCGCTGGAGAGATAAGAAAAATCCCAGCACTAGATTGGCGCGAAGTTAGGAGACACGGGCTGCTGGAGAGATAAGAAAAATCCCAGCACTGGATTGGAGCGAATGTAGGAGACATGGGCCACCGCAGAGGAAAGTATATTTTGCTGTAATCTGATTTTCACTAACATTTCAGGACATGAAAAATCAATTTTAGCCATCCCTACTGACGATAAACTGAATAGATTGCAACACTAACTAATGTGTAGTGTTTTTTTTTTTCCTTGTGCCTGAAGCTGATTTTTAAATAGATGTTCAACTGGCATGCATTTATTTCTCATCTTAAAACAAGCAGCACCTAGCGCAAATATGTCAACTCTCCTTCCTGTACATGGATATCCCTCTCTAAAATGTAAGTCAATGTTCTAGCAACTTAAACCTTGACAGCAAACTTAGGCTGAAATGGCATCAAGAACACGCTTTGCCATTCACATCTGCACAGGAAACGAGTGATCCATTTTTAAATAGCATGCTTGAGTATTCATGATGCCCCGCAGCTGAGATACCAGTTGGAGATGATTCATGAATGAGTTGAAATGCCCTCGTCTTTGCAATTTTCTCCTGGTCTCCCCTCGCGGTATTAATCTGTTCCCT